GGCCACCACCGTTGGAAATAATACTTCTGGGGCTTCATTTTTCACTTAAAAATCTCCGAAATCCAATTCCGGACGGGGAAGATATAGTTGATTGAAGTAGGGCATCACTCCGGTTGGACCGAAATCTGCGTGGCTTCACCAAAAAGGGCATAACTTTTTCCACAGGAGGAATTTTAATGCAAGGTTTGTGCCATTGGAAAGATAACTTCCGGGGCTTCAATTTGGACACTTGACCGGCCACCATTGGACCTTCCTACCACCCACCGGCCACTTTTCTTTCCGGTAGTCCATTTTTTTGTCCTGAAAGTAGCTAGCCGGCCAGAAAACCTAGCAGGCCGGCCACCTAGCTGGTGAAATGACCTTTTTGCCCTTTTTGAGCTGGCTGTCCATAATCCTTGCCCCAAGTACATTCTAGCCATGTATTTCTTTTTACACTTCACCCATGTCCGAGGGTTTGGCACTTTTGGAGGGAAACTTGACTCATTTTCCCTCCATTTTTTCCCCCCCTTTTTCCCCCTCTTTGGCCTATATATCAGCAGCTCCAGCTGCTGGTTTAGGGTTACAAAATTCCCCCCTAAGCCCTTGCCTTGTATCTCTCTTCCTCTATACTCCCAAGCTCAAAACCTTCAAGTCCAACACCCTTCTCTACACCACCACCTAGCACCATACCTCCAACCTCCATTGCAGCCACTTGAAGCCGATTTCCAGAGCTAAAGAGGCATCTTTTCTCAAGCCAAGAAGTGTTGAAGTTTGGTCTACAAGGGTGAGCAACACTTCCCTTCTTTTTAAGCTTATTTTTGCATCCTATCTAAGCCATTCTTGCTTGCTGTTTTGGGCTCCGACCCTAACTGGAACTAGGCTTATTTTGAGCCATTATTCATGTTTGTTTAAGGGCCTCACACTGTTTGAGGCCTCCTTGTTGCACTTGCTTCATTATCCTTCTTGTATGCCTATTCCTTGTGTAGTATTTTTGGCCTACGTGTAGACTGTTTTGAGGCATGTCATAAACTGTAAAGTTGCTTATTTTGAGCCCTTATTCAACATTGTTGAAGGGCTCATTGCTTTTTGAGGCTTTAATTTGCTACTTGCCTTTATATCTCTCTTTTGGCCATATTTTTGCATGATTTGTTAGCCTCTTTTGCTTCTGTTTTTGGGCTGTGGTCTGAACTACAAATAGCCTTATTTTGACCCCATATTCATGTCTCATTAAGGTTATTTTACTGTTTGAGGCATCCTTTATATACTTTGTGTTATATCTCTCTTTTGGGCCTTATTTTGAGTAGTATTTTAGGCTTGCATGCATACTGTTTTGGGTCCGGCCATCAACTGTAAAATACATTATTTTTGGCCCCTCTTCAACATTGTTGAAGGGCCCCTTTGTGTTTGAGGCCAGAAACCACTACTTGCTTCTTTGTCCATCTTTTGGCCCTTTTCTTGCATGAGATCTTAGCCATACCTGTGCTAGTTTTTGGGGTTTGTTGTAAACTGTAAAACATCATATTTTGGGCCCCTCTTCAACATTGTTGAAGGTCCCTCATCTGTTTGAGGTCTGCAGCTGTGACTTGCTTCATTATCTCACATTTAGGGCCATTTTTGCATGCTAGTTTTTCCCTATTTGTGTTTACTGTTTGGCCTTGATTAAAACTGTAAATGTGCTTATTTTTGGACTTCCTTGAATCTGTCTTCATATGTCATAAGCAAATAGTGCATGTTTTGTATAGCTATAGGCCAATGCATAGGCCTAGTTTTGCATTTCGGTTTCATTTCATGCATCGGGTGTCATTTTGCCATCTTTCGGGGCTGTTTTGCATCACTTACTGCCTCTGAAATTTGTATGTTTGCATACCATGTTTCACGCCTTGCCATGTCTTGTTAGAGTGGCATTTGTGCCTTAGGGTCGGTCCTCGGTTTGCGTGCATGTGTGCACGCATTTCGAGTGTCTCATTTTCATCTCATGGCCTCCTATGTGAGTGTGGCTGAGGCCCACTCATGTTGGTATAAGTCCATTGTGCATTGTATATGCCATTTCATTTCATAGCATTGCGTATGCTAGGTTGTATGTTAGCGCATTGTGTATGCCATGTTACCTCGTGCATCGTGTATGCCACTTCATAGCATTGTGTATGCTAGGTTGTATCTTAGTTGCATTCATGCATTTCATGCATATTGCATCGTGCTTGGGATAGGAGTTAGCCCGAGCACGGGAAACGAGGGACGTTTCGTACTTCGAGTGACGGAACGTGTCTCAATTCCTAGTCACCGACACTCCGGATTATCCATGATGGAGTTAGGTTTTAGTTGAGTTTTCATGTGCATTCATTCTATATTGAGTAATGCAAATCGACTCCTCGGCCATCATGCATCGATATACGTGATTGGTGGCACGAGGGTCGAGGCATGCATACATCTGTGAAAATACATTGCTATGCCACTTTTCTGCTCTCTATTGCAGCAAATCAAGAATTAGCAACCTTCCGAAGATTGGCGCGCTTTCCAAGAGTAATTGCAAAACAGAGGCTAATTGGGGCATTCCAGTGGATTTCCAAGGCAGCCCAGACATGCATCATCCATCATCTGAAGAAGAGTCAAGGCAGTCCCTAGCTTGCATGCCAGTTTATTATTTTTCCTAGATTAATTTGTAAATTAATTAGGATTTTTGTATTTATTCGGGACTGTAATTATTTATTTGGGACTATATATTTATTCGGACCCTCTGCGCGAGGGCACAACTGTAATAAGTGTGCGTGTGTGCGTTGTATGTCTTCCAACCCCACGTCTTTCTCCCTTTTATTTATCCGCTTATGATGGTTAGATTAGGGCATATTTCAATTAGCATACAGTATGGCAGCATGTTTTTATCATTCATCTGTTTTGCATGCACCGAGCTCGGCGCATCATACTAACTGCATTTGTATTTCAATTTCAAAGTTGAATATTTGTTAGCTGTTGCATCTCATATGCCATGTTTAGAATAGCCGAGCCTGCTATAGTTGCATTTTGCATGTGTTGCATTAGGCATTTCTGTATAATTAGGATCATGTATGGATTTCTAATCAGTTTCTGTTTTGGCTTGGAGTACTCGGTGAGTTTTTATGCTTTAGCATCCTTGCATGCGTGTGAGTGACGGCCATGATAGCATGCTTACCATGAGGCTATTTGCTTATGTGATATAACTGCCTGAATGCCTGTGGGTGAAGGTTGGATTATTTGGATTGGAACAATTCATCAAATGTGTGTTTTAAGCCCACTAGATAGTGGCAAAATCATATTTTTCTAAGTCCACCCGAGGGTGGCAAATCCATGTCTTAGCCTACTTGCGAGTAGCACCATCAAACCATTTTCAAACAAACAAACATGAAATGTTTTGTTCCAATTCAGACGATCCAGTCTATACTTGTATGTTGTGCGCATCACATAGTAAATCTAGGCTAATAACCGGAATAAGAACACATAATATTTTTCAAAAATAGATATCATGGTTAGTAAAGGCCGATCTTTGATCGGGCGAGCGGGGGTGCTCACGAAGTGACCTTCCCCAATCGTACCCAAGTTCCCGAGCCGAGGCAACTTTGGTGATGACGGACATGTGGCCTTAGGCACGAGTCAGGGTTTCCTAAATTTCCCAAAAATAAAATATTTAGGTGGCGACTCTGTATCTGGCAAAGCAGTCCATGTTTGGCACTTCTTTCAAAATCTGTTTTCTCAAAACGATTTGCCGGATTTGGACTCTTTGGTTCAGATTACGAACTGTAACAATTTGAGAGTCCTGAGCTGTAGTGACCCCAAATGAACAGAACGGGACTCATCCTCCCGAGGCGTTCGGAGACGGCTACAAAGTGCGTGAGATCTTAACTCGTGCTCTTATGCCACTCTGTCATGACCCAAACCCGCCCCAAAGGTTTAGGCCATGACTGACCTGTACTTAGGCCTCAAAAAAAAAATTTCAAAAAACTTTTATTCAATAATGGGGCCTTAAGCGAAAGTAGAACAAAAATAACAAATGTTTATTGAGCTATGCATACATGATGACCTGAAATAATTAAACCATTCAACTACACTTTCAATATTTACATATACAATGACAAAACTTATACATATCTCACACCCTATATGAAAGACTTCAAACAAAACTAGGGTTGGCGAAATAAGACTACGCCTCTACACGGAGGCAATTCATGGGTGACTTGACGGAGAGGCGGACTCTGGGATAAACTCTAATACTGATCCTTCGATTACTCACCTACATATATATATATATATATATGTATAAGGGTGAGCTAGAGCCCAGTGAGTAATAAGAAAGTAAAGAGGTTAATGAATGATGTCCTTAACATTAGGAAACATGTCTTACAATTCCGAAACGTATCTTAAATCATTTTTAGAGAAAACATTTATGCTATCAAAATCCATGCTTTCTCAAATGAAACATATATCTGAATCCATTACAAAACATTTTACGTGTTACTTGGTATATATACAAAGGATCACGAATGCATTTCAGAAAGGGACATTCATTCATTCATGTAATATAGCATTTTTTTTAAACATGAGTCATACAACAGTTTCCAAAAACCTATATTCACATCACATTTACAGAACGACCTTGGGTCCACAGAATAGCCTCTGGCCCACATATGATACAGAACAAGCTTGGGCACACACTTAGTACAGAACTACCTCAGGCCCAATCACATGTTAACACAACTGTTCAAAATGACCTCAGATCCAATTGTATCTTATCGTGGAGTAGATGGAACATAAACATGTCTCCATCTCTCACATAGAACGGAACAGTCTTGGGCCTAACATATCGTAGCATGAATAGAACGGCCTTGGGCCCACTTATCATATTACAAACAGTCCACATTTCATATTCATAAACCATATCATATTTCTTGAAAACGCATTCATTTAGAACAAAATACGATGTTCAAAAAATCATGTCATTCATAAATCAAAATAGATAATTAAGAACATATCTTTACTTTACTATTACTCACAGTGTTTTATCGGTTGAGCCACCTCGACTGAGAAACCTACAAAAACATATGCAACTACAATATCTTAATTCACATTTCATCTATTCAGTTCATTCATTCCTTATTCGTTCATAAATTTTCTATTCATTCTTTAACTATGTATTCAATGTGCATATTGAAAAGTCTTAGGTATCCAACAACAATTTCATATGTTTTCAATGAAAATATCATTTTTTACATATTTATGATTTAAGGAAATAGCAAGAAACGAAAGAAAACTAAGTTAGGGTATGAATGGCACGAAACAGTTAAAGGGAAAATGCACAGTCTTCACTAATTTGAGCATATATATTTGTGTACTTATAATTTTGATGTGAGATCATCACGCTTAAAAACTAGACTTCTTGGGCTAGAATTTAGGCTCAAGAATTGCTTAAAGCGAAGTATGGATGAAAGAGATATGCCTTTTTGAAGTTGGGTTGAAACAGGGGTGCCGCGCGTGCGAGAAGGGTGCCGGAAAATGCTGTTCCAGAACACCGGTTTTGTTCCGAAAATCTCGTTCTTTTCTTATCTTTTTTTTTTCACACTTTTTTTTAGGGTTCCAAAATATGATTTTAGGCTCATAGAACTCTTGAAAATTTTTATGAAATCATTATCCTTTTCAAGGCATCAATCTCAAACTATAATTAGTTCCAAGATATAAAGATCAAAACATATGTTTTTCATAAGGAATTCATGAGTTCTTTTTCTTTTCTCTTCAAATTCTCACTTCCACCCTTTCAAAGCATGAATCAAGCTTTCAAAACTCTTAGAAATCATATAGATACATGAAGATAAAGCCTCTAATGCATCAAAAATATCAAAACCTAGATGGAATTAGTATGAATCTTGGGCACCAAGCTTGTTCTTCATCCTACCCTTTCTTTTCCATTTTCTTGTCCATAACTTTGTTTCTAACTCAAATTAGTCCTAATTTCTTCTTAATCTTGAATAATAGGAAACTTTTCTACAGAGATTAAGTTAGGCATCTGACCTTGGACTTGTTAAGAATTGAGTTTTGATGCAATTCTTTTAACCTCTCTCCTATCTTCTTTCTCTTCTTTCTTTCTCTCCTTCGGTTCTTCTTGTCTTCTCCAGAACCCTTTCTCTCCCAAAATATCTTCTTTGTTGAGTCTATCTCAACTAAGGCCCATATACTTATAAATATAATATTTAATAAAAATCAATTTAATTCATTCTGAATCAGATTTTTACAAAACTTCATACTAGGCTCTAAAAATCATGCTGATCATAAACATTTAATTGGTTTCATTTTCTGGCACCTCTAAGGTCCTCAATTTTTTGTTTAAAACTATAATTTCAATAGATTTTTCTACAATCAACAAATATAACTTCAAATCCTTATAATTCACATTCTTAGACATGCAATTCCACAACAACGACATAATCAAACTAGTCATGACTAATCACAATTCCCACATAATTTAATTAACCTAATTGGACTTCCATTAGAGCCCAATTAAATATATTTAAATTTATCAATCTAAATCAGATTTTTTAATCAAACTCCCAAAAGGCTTCAATTATCAAATTAAGTTTATTTCTGTCATCAATTTTGATTTCTCACATCAATAAGGCCTTCAATTTCAGGTGAAACTCAAGGTCTCCGTCAATAAATTACATACTCAAATTGAATACTCATAAATAAATTTAATTCGCAATAATCTTAATTCCCACTCCTCATGACGTAATTAACTCCAATTCGGACCCAATTAATCAAATCTCAATTTTACAAATCTGAATCGAATATTTAATTAAACTCTCATATGGTCCGATGCTCGATATTAAAATAATTCAACTCACTAATTATTCTATCTTGAGCCAATCAGGCTTTCAATTTCTAATTCCAAAATAAATCTTCAATAGAATCGTATACGAATCGGTCTCCATAATTTTCATAATTCCCAAATTAAATCAGAATAGTAGACAATTAAAATTAAAATCTCCATCATTAATTAAATATAAAGTATTACACAATGGGGTTATCATAAACATAGCATAATTTGCACACGATAACAAAGCTTAACTTGCAAGCATATACATAGCGATGAACATTCCAAGACTTTTCAAATAACTTATCCACAACACGTAGCAAAGAGCTCAGTTAGTACAAAGTTTTTGGCATGATTCCCAATAACAAACAAGTTCCAAGATGTCATCTTAGTACTTGATACAAAAGTATAGGATGTTCATTCATAGCAAAACAATAATATAGCTTCTTAAACATATCATAAGTTTGCATTTCGAATAATAGTTTTAACAAACATAACTTTACCACACTATTACTCAAAATTGGCTCCTTGCTCAAGGGATTAACTTCTTCAAGACTTGACCTACAAAACAAAAACAAAGCATTGAACATCCTAAGTATTAACATAAAAAATTGGTTCTCTAACTTAGTTAAGCATTTCCCTAAATTTCCTCAAGTATCCTAACATCATTCTCGGTCTGGTTTAAACCATATTTATGTGCCAAATGGGTCCAAGAAGTATCCTATGTGAAAGAGGGTTACAAAATAAAAGAGTATACAAAATAGGGGATTTTCGCATGTGTTGGACCAAAACCCGCACGTGCGCACTTACAATTATTCTAGTAGCCAAATGTTTGTTGGAGGAAGACTACCACACGTGTGGACTGCCACACGTGTGGGAAGCCCGACTGCACGTGCGGTTCTAGGCAAGAACCTACTGTCCAAAAAGTATGTTTGTTCCAACTCATTTTTTTTCCATTCTCAAGCTTAGGGTTCAAGCTAAAACACCCAAAAATATGCAAAATCAATAGGAAACTTAGAATTATAGTTGCTTTCCAAATCAAAACATCAAAACATAATGAAATCCTAAGCTTAAAAGATCAAACCCCTTGATTTAGTTTCTTTTCAAGTCTTTTCCAAAACTTTTCTTTTCTTTCATTCCAAAGTATAAATTAAATCATGAAAACTCTTGAAAATCATAAGAATATGTGAAAGTGGAGATCCATGTGCACCAAAATCATCAAAACTTCAATCAAAAGAGTAAATTCCTAAGCTTTCTAGCATTTGTTCTTTCCTAGCTCAACTTCTTTTCTATTTCTTCCAAGTTCTTCATTTTTTAACTCATTTTGATTCTAATTTCTTCCAATCCTTAGATGTTTGATGGGTCTATTACAAGATTTAAGTTTGAATTCTTACCATTAAACACTTCTAGATTGAATTTTTGTTGAAGTTCTTGAAGTTCCTTCATTTTCTCCCCCCCCCCTCCTCTTTTCTTCTTTTCCTTTCCTTCTCCCTCTCGTTGGTTCTTGAATATGGCTAATTCTTCTCTCTTTTGTTTGTTTTGGGGGCCTAAGGTTTTATTGTATGTGGTAGGGCAAAAGTTGTAATATCATCAAACCTCTAATCTTGCATATTTGAGCTTAATTAATCTCTCTTATACTAATCATACTTAGCCTAATTAATCCTAATTAAGGTTCACTAATTATACTTAATTATCACTAATCTTAATTAGTAAAATAGCATATAGTATGAAATGATCACGTTTATTACAAGTTCCTTACTTAAGGTTTAAGCACACCCTATGGTTCTCAAATCAAGTTCAAAGCTATCCCCCAACTCAAATCACATAACAAAACAAATTTCTAACATAACCTTCCACACTTCTTCTTTCCTCATTCTAATACTAGCAAGCCCTAAGTCTTACAAGTACGTAACATATAGCATGAATGCATAAACCATTAACATACATGATGCATGAATGGATTTGGTTGTTGCATGCTCCCCTCCTTATGAAGTTTGGTCCTCCAAACTTGTCTTACCTTAGTTCAGAAACAGACTAAGGTATCTCATCCTTATATCCTCCTCTACTCCCCAAGTAGCATCTCTCTCGTAATGTTCTTGCCATATAACCCTTACCATTAGTATTTCCTTATTTTAAGTTTCTTCACCTGGCGATCAACAATCTCAATAGGTCGTTCTTTGTATTTCAAATCCTTGTTAATAACCAAATGCTAGTAGTCAATCACATGGGAAGGATCTCGAGCTTAACCTCATAACAAGGAGATATGGAAAACATTATGAACTTGATCCATCTCTGGTGGTAGTGCTACCCAGTATACTACTAGACCAATCATTTCAAGGATCTCAAATGGCCCTATACACGTGGAGATAGCTTCCTTTTTTTCCCAAATCGAGTTTGGTCCTTTATTGGAGTAACTTTTAGGAACACATTATATCGAACTTCAAACTCTACATCCCTCCTTAAATCTGCATAACACTTTTGTTGGCTTTGGGCAGTTTTAAGTCGTTGTTGAATTACCTTAATCTTTTCTATGGTAACTTGGGCAATTTCAGGCCCTAACATTGGTTTGTCTCCAACTTTTATCCCGTAAACTGGTGATCTACTTTTTCTTCCATACAATGCCTCATAAGGTGCCATGCCAATGCTTGTTTGGAAACTATTGTTATAAGCGAACTCTGCTAAGGTAAGTTTCCCAACTTCCCTTGAAATCTAATGCACATAACTGAAGCATATCTTTCAAAGTTTGTATTGTCCGTTCTGATTGACCATCGGTTTGCGGATGGAAGGTAGTACTAAATTTTAGTTCTGTTCCCAATGCTTTCAGTAAACTCTGCCAAAATCTAGACACAAATTTGGAGTCTCTATCTGATGCAATAGAAACAGGCACACCATGAAGTCAAATAATCTCATCTATATACAAAGTAGCTAACTTGTCTGCATTATAAAAGGATTTCATAGGTAAGAAATGAGCAAACTTGGTCAATCTATCAATGATGACCCAAATTGAATCCATAACTCTTGGCATACGAGAAACGCCAACTACAAAATCAACCATAATGTGTTCCCACTTCCATTTCGAGATAGAGAGAGGTTGAAGTAGACTGGCGAGCTTCTGGTGCTCGGCTTTTACTTGTTGGCATTGAAGGAAGCGAGAAATAAACTTTGCTATGTCCCTTTTCATATTTGGCCACCAGTAGACTTGCTTGAGATCTTGATAGATTTTGGTGCTTCAAGGATGGACTGCAAACTTAGAGCGTTGTGCTTCCTCCATGACTTTCTTTTTCAACTCCAATATGTTGGGAACACATAATCTGCCTTCAAACGGTAGCACTTGTTCTTTGATTGAGAATCCCGATCTTGGCTTTGAATCAATTTCTTCAAAAAATTTCTTGAAATAAGCATCCTCCATTTGTCTTTGTTTGATTTCTTCAATGATAGATGGTTGGGTGGAAAATGCAGCTAAAGTTCCTCCTGTCTCGTGTAGGACCAATTCTATCTCCATCTTCTGATGGTCTTGGAGTATGTTTCCTTGTTTGGTGAGTATACATGCCAAATTTTCCATTGGCGTCCGGCTGAGGGCGTCTACTACTGTATTTGCTTTGCCAGGATGATACTATATTTGCAGATCAATAACTTTCATTAGTTCCAGTCATCTCCTCTGCCTCATGTTGAGTTTTTTTTGGGTAAACAAGTACTTAAAGCTCTTACAATCTATTAACACCTCACATGTAGCCCTGTATAAGTAGTGATGCCATATCTTTAGTGCAAAAGCAACGGCTACCAATTCCAAGTCGTGAGTTGGATAGTTCTTCTCATATGGCTTTAATTAGCGGGAAGCGTAAGCAATGACTTTGTTGTTCTACATCAAAACACACTCTAATCCTTTGTGAGACACATCACTATAGATAACAAATCCCTCTATACTTGATGGTAATACAAGAACTGGCACTATGATCAGTCTTGCCTTTAACTCTTGGAAGGTAGAATCTCTCTTTTCTGTCCATTCAAACGATATTGCCTTATGTGCCAACTAAGTAAGTAGCACTGCTATCGTGGGGAAAGCCTTGACAAATCTCTTGTAATAACCTGCCAAACCAAGAAAACTCCGAACTTCTGTTACATTAGTGGGCCTTGGCCAATCTACTGTCACTTTAATTTCCTAGGGATCAATAGATATACCCTCTTCATCAATAACATGTCCAAAAATGTCACACTAGTCAGCCAAAATTCATACTTCATTAACTCTGCATACAATTGTTTATCTCTAAGAGTTTAAAGGATCAATCTCAAATGTTGTTCATGGTCCCCCTAACTTTTAGAGTAAATCAAATGTCATCAATGAAGACTACAACAAACTCATCCAAATAAGGTTTAAAAATTCTATTCATCAAACCCATGAATGTTGTCGGAGCATTAGTAACCCCAAATGGCATAACCAAAAACTCATAATGGCCATACCTAGTTCTAAATGTCGTCTTCTCAACATCCTCTGCTTTAACTTTGAGCTAATGATACCTCAATCTAAGATCAATCTTGGAGAAGACATGTGCCCCTTAAAGTTGATCAAACAAATCATCAATTCTCGACAATGGGTATTTGTTTTTTATACTCACCTTATTCAGTTCTCTGTAGTCGATGCATAGACGAAGAGTTCCATCCTTCTTTTTCACAAATAGGATAGGTGCACCCCAAGGTGAAATGCTAGGTTAGATGAAGCCTTTGTCTCATAAGTCTTGCAATTGCATTTTCAACTCCTTTAGCTCTACTGGCGACATTCTGCAAGGAGTCTTGGAAATTGGTTGAGTTCCCGGGGCAACATCAATTGTAAACTCAATTTCTCTATCAATCAAATTGCTCAATAGGTCTTCAGGAAACACATCCAAAAATTCTTTACTATTGTTATGTCATTTAAACTGCTATCAGATCCGAGTACAGTCAAAACACTACACAAATATCCCCGATATCCCTTCTTGACTAGTTTACATACCTTCATCGATGAAATGAGATATGGTGGTGGTACAATGCCTCTTCCTTGAAAGGAAAACTCTTCTTTATTTGGTGGTTGAAATGAGACAGACTTGGACACACGGTCTATTGTAGCATAATTAGTTGACAACCAATCCATTTCCAAAATGGCATCAAAATGACTCATTTCTATAGGCAGTAAATCGGCAATCAAGCTAACATTCTTAATTAATATTTCACAATCCCAATGGATAGAGGTATATATCATAGATTCAATCAACGATGTAGATACCGACATTAGTCAATTCAAAGGTTCTGGCAATTTATTCAACTTATTCACAAATTCACAAGACACAAATGAATGTGTAGAACCCGAATCTATCACAATATACGCATCATGAGCACAAATGGAGAGTATACCTAATAAAACGGGCTCTATACTTTGAATATCTATTAGGACTAGGGCAAACACCCTTGCTTTTCGTCGGTTATTTCCCCGTGGAACAAAGCTTAGCAATTGGCCTTTGGACCAACCCCGATGAACTACTTGCCCCTCCTAATGAATTCTACTAGGCTTTTAGGCAATCCCTTATCTGATGTCCCATTTGGCCGCATTCAAAGCAAACCCCTAAAACTCGACGGCAAACTCCATGACAATGTTTATTGCAATCTGGACAAATTTGAGCCATTTTATTTCCTTAGCTAACACCGCTAGTAATCTCTACACTTGGCTTCTTGATAGGTAAATTTGCTGGTCCTTTTCTTGTATTATACCCTTGTCTCTTATTGAACCATTCTTTAGATTTTTGCTCATCCTTTAGATTTAGCTCAGTCATAATCGCCCTATCGAGTACTTCCGCATATATAGAAAATTTAAAGAGATTCACTTTATCTCGGAGCGGTCCTCTAAGCTCTTCTTTGAATTTCCTTGCTTTGTTATACTCAGTATTGACCATGTGTGGAGCAAACCTGGCTAGCTCCGTGAACTTTGAATCGTATTCTACTATTATGCCTCCACCTTGTTTAAGTGCCTAGAACTCTGATGCTTTCCTATCCCTGATTCATTGTGGGAAATACTTGTCGTAGAATATCTCCAAAAAGCGGTTCCAAGTAATCCTCTCATGTTGGGCATTTACTAACATCCACCATCTACTTGCCTTATCTGCTAGGGTGAAGGTGGCAGGTGCAACTTTTAAGTTTATGTGCAAAAGAAGGCCTCAAAGAATTTTTTTGCTTCTAGCACCCATGCCTCTGCCTTTAATGGATCAACTCCACCCTCAAATTCAATTAGCTTCATCTTTTTGTATTCTCTGATTAGTGCCATTGTTTCCTAGTTTGGGAAGTCCATTTGCAGAGGTAGCTATTGTTATGGTAATTATAGCTACTATTGCGGTGGTTGTTGTTCTTGTTATGGTTGTTCTTGGTTTCTTTGTCTTAGACCCTTTACTGCCTCTGCTACCCCTTCTAACATTCTTTCCAGTCGATCCATGCGGCTAGTAAAGGACTCAGCTCTTTCTCTCGCCATAATGCTATGTATGCAAAGCATATGTTAAACAATTATAATATATGCATATGATGGCTTAACAATTAACACATAAGATGTGCATCTAGTCATACACATTCATCATGAATGCATTCCTAAAGTTCTTCTAGGAAAAATCCTATGCTTTGGAGGACAGTGTGTATGAGTACAAACTTGTGATCTAATACCACTCTGTCATGACCCTATCTCACCCCAAACAAGATAAAAGTTATAACCGGCCAATACTGTCTGACTACCAAAGGCCTAGCAAGACAAAACGAGCTTGGACGAAAACATTGGGGCTTATGTAAAAAAACGACATTGTCCATTAATCACCAAGAGTCCATCCAAAGCCAGTGCATAAATTATATGATACAACAAATGACTTTATTTATTTATCTTTAACTTTATAGGCTCAACATCCAAAAAAGAAAGTACAACAGTTATAAATATACATGTCACGACCCAAACCCACCCCCATAGGTAACCGGCCAGTAATCATGAGATTACCTACGGCCTTAGACACAATTAACAAAATATATATTTAAATATACGGGGGCCTGAAGCGAAAGCAGAATATAAAATTTGTCCATTGAGTTGTGCATACATGCCATGAACGGAAACATATATACCATACATCTCACATCACACCATAATATTCACAAACATTCATTTTATAGATACATAACCCAAGATCAAAACTATAGCATAACAGACTACACCGGACCAAAGCTTCTCGAGCTTGGCCAAAATAAAAACTAAGGCCTCGACACAGAGACCTATCTCAGGTGGCTTGACAAAAGGTTGACTCCAATGCGAGCTCTAATGCGGAACTTCCTAATGTTTACCTACATACATATATATAACGAAGTGAGCTGGAAGCCCAATAAGTAATCTCAGTGTAAAAGGGTTAAATGAATGAGTCTCATAACTTATCATAGTAACAATTATAGTTTATCAAACCTTTCATAACTTAACATGTTGCAAAGTGCCCGAAGGCCTTATTTTGCTTACTGAAATACCATACGAAACATTCATATAGAATGACTTCATTTAGAGCACCCTTATTGGTGTCTCATACAAAATATCACTTTGATGACTTATACAAAATGTGAAACATCATAATGATGCCTTATATAGAATGCGGAACATCACTTGGATGACTTATACAGAATACGAAACATCACTTGGATGACTTATACAAAATACGAAACATCACAATGGTGCCTTATACATTTGATAAGCTCATTCAAAATGTCTTTTACGTGTAGACACTATACAGAATGATTCCTATCAAAAACATGCAAAATGTCAATTACGTATAGAATCCATACAGAACGATTGCTATCAAAGTTATGCAAAATAATCATCAAGGACAGACATCATACAGAATGTTTACAACGGTTCAATAACTTATACGAAATGTCACTTATAGATCATAGATAAATTAGTAGTTACCGAATGATCAAGGCATAACTCATAATTATTGTTCAAAAGGAAACTCATTCATTCTTAGCAAATCTTATTTTTGGAAAACTTATCACATTGTACACGATTCGGAGTTTCAAAGCATAACTTAGTGTCTCAAAGTACTTATTCGAAAATCTTGTCATATCTCATAACGTGTACCAAGTATAGGTTTCACAAACCATCGTATAGCTAAACTAATTACAAAGTAATTCATACAAAAATACCGTTACAAAGACATTACTCACCTTGACTAGTTTGATGTTCTTCCTCAACGATCGAACCTACACATTACACATAACCAGACACATTATAACACATATTGAAACTCAATGTTAAAACTGAATGAATCTTTCTTCTCTTTTCTAATCATTTAATTATGCTATTTCTTAGCTTATTAATCCTTAATAAGTCATAATTCATGCCTAAGAATGCTCGGAAAGGGATGGGAACGAAAATTTGAACTCAAAACATCATTTAAAACACATGCCGAAAATAAGCTGGAGGTTAGAACCAACTTTTGGTCATTGGAGCGATCTCAATACATATACTCAGCTTGCTAAAGCCACCATTTGGTCGCTTGAGCCAACTATGAAGACTGTAAAAGTACTGGGAGCTCGCAATGTTCGCTCGAGCCACCACTTGGTCGCTTGAGTGGTCTGCAGAATTTCTGGGTTTTCCAAAACAGAATTTGAGCTCCAAAAATGCATTATAACATGTAAAAGCTTGCGTGGTTATTCCAAACTCATGAAAACTCTTTGATAACTATAAAAACATTTTAGATACCTTAAATACATGATCATTCATAAATCATTTGCTCAAAACCTCGTGAATTTACCAAAATTGAACTCAAACCTTCATGCATGTGAGAATTAATTTCAAAACTCTTTTCTTGGCTTTCCAAACATAAAAGTAAGCTTTCAAAACTTATGAAACAATGATGCACGTGCAAACTAACTTCCAATTTCATCATAGATCATAGAATTCAAACCCAAAATGACAAAATTCTACATATTCATGCATACATGTAAAGCTATAACACTTTCTTGACATCCTTTAACAATATACATGCAAATGATCATGTTAATTCCATGAACTCAACTCCAAAACACATTATCTTCAAGAATTGAGGGTTAAATTTTTACCTAGAGCCTTCAAACACTCTAATTCTTGCACAATCTTGACCAATTCTAGCTACTCCTTTAAGTTTTCCTTCTCTCTTTCTCTCTCTCTCTCTAAAGGACTCTCCAACAAAATGATCTCAAGAATGAAGAAGTGGAGCTCAAAATAAGCTTAAGGCTCATATATATATATATATATATAGGATGGCTTAATACATTAATTAGAATAGTATGATAATTAAACACAACTTAATTAATTAAACAGAATCAATTTTTAATCAAACATACCAAATGGTTCTAAAAATTTCAAGTGGTCTATTCATATAGCCAATTTCAATTTCTGATATAATTCAAGCCACCAATTTTGAATTCTAAATAGAAATCATAACAGATAGTTTTCAAATCAAACAGATATACACACATTAATCACATGGCACATATCACAATTAAAACTTAACGCATAATTAAATAAATGTAATCATGATATGCATGTTGGGGTCGTCACAATACAGCTAACAAAAGCTAAAACTCGAAGACAAGGTCTTCATTAATAATGCCAACTCTAGTTTTAATTTCATTACACTAGTCACGATTTTCTTTATTTTAAATTACAATCTAAATAGTATGTTCTTAATGAAATTTCATAAAGAATTAGGCGACAATTCCCGAGTTATCATCGAACCAAATCATTACTCGAATTCTTAACATTTCATTAAATTACAACTTCCGAACCCAAATGTTACTCGTAATAACTACTCAATTCTAATTTCTCCAAAACGTACCAATTCATGCTTTCAAAAAACATTTGGTTAATGTCCAACAATTCCAAGGAATTCAAACAATAATATTAATTTCACATATGTACATTTCAATTTCCAATTTGATAGACTCATAAAAATCAAGGATTTACCATAATTAATTAGGGCCTTTCTATCCTTATACCTTATAAGGTAATCTAGTAGCATCATTCTTTCATATTAAACAAGAAATCACAATATCCATTACTACAACTCAAAGCCCTAAAGTTCTTCTTGTCATCAAATCTTATTTTCATGCAATACAAAGTACCATCTATCCATAAACAACAACTAGATTAAGAAGAATAAAAGAAATCCCTGCCTCATAATCTATAAGAGAAGGGAAGCCAAAACCCCAAATTTTGACGACATTAGAATTTGATCTTCACAAATCAAAACGTAGCTCTCGGAATGCTCGACATTTTGGTATAAGGAACTAGTAGCAAAATCTGAATGGATCATGATAGATTTGAAGAAATGTGAGTGTTGGGTGGATTTGTAGAGAGAGAGAGATATATAAGAGACATGAGAGAAAAAGAGAAAGATATGCAACTAGTAGCTAAAGGGCACGAAATTCGAGACTATTCACACATTTAGCTGCACGTGCGGAGCCCCTCTCATGAACATGTGGAAACCCCCACTACATGTGTTGTTTACTATAGGTCACAAAATCCCACAGCTTTCCTTTTCTGTATGTGCGGCCCCCTTTCCACATGTGCGATCATAACCCCTGTACGTGCCGACCCACTTGGTCGTACATACGAGAACACCTATTATGCCAAAATTTTTAAATCGTACAAACATCTGAAAAGTCAAACCAGGTTTGTGTAGACACCCCATTTTGACTAGCCCTAAGATTTTGAGCACTTATAAGCCTCCCGATGATCAAATGGTAATTACTTTATCTTTAGAATGTTTAAGGTTGTTTGGAGTTGTTGTATAAACCTATTTTGGCCAAAAATTGACTTTTTACGAAAATGATCATTTTATCCTTGGACTTGTTTTTAGCCAAAAACCAACTTTTTAACCCCAAGAATATAGGGAAGCCTAGTTATGCTTTGATCAAATACATTTTTCAAATGTAGTAATCAATTTTCTCAAAAACGTTGATCAAAAGGCAATTCAGGATTACTTGAGCCACAAGCAAGCCAAGGACATGGGACCCTGCACTTGTGCGTGCATGGATGGTACGTGTACTAAAGTGAGAGGTATGATTGCACATGTTCATTGTGAGTGCTCACATTCAATGTGAGTGCCCACATACATTGTGATTGCACACATCCAATGTGGGTGCACATGTCCATTCTAAGTGCTCACATCCAAGCATGACAAAATTATTTTTGGCAACTCAATATTAGTGCATCTCTGGTAGAAGGCAGCAAATGGAAGCGATGGGAACCTTAAAGGGACTGCAGAACATTTCTCTCTTCCTATAAAAGGGACCTATCCCTCTCCCTTTTAGGGGGTTAAGATTTTGAGAGCCATTTTGTAAGTTTGAGAGCAAAAACATCATTTTCTCTCCCTCCTTTTCCTTGGCCACAAAATTTCCCCACCCATAGCAACTCTAAAACACTGAAAATCATCCTAGGGGGTGAAAAACCCGAACTACTTCAAAAACCTAAGCTTGAGGGAGGCTTACAAACAAGAAATTTGAGTTTCTTTACATTTTTCTTCATGTTTTCTTCGGTTTAATCAAACCAGCAGGTAAAACTCCTTTACCTTTTGTATCTCAGTACCTTTTCGCTTCATTTTTCAGTATCTATGCATGCTAGGTTGTTAGTTCATCATTCCATCATGTAGTTTATTCATCTTACTGGCTTTTTCACCTTTTTCTCACATGTTTTATTCATTTAATTAGAACAACATGTTTTAGGCTTCATTTAGTCACATAATAATCACGTGTTAGGCCTGATTTGAAACATCATGTAGATAATTTATACCATTGTCTTTATTTTCGTTGTGTGTTATTTGCTCCTTTGTGCATGTTCATCATTTTAGTAGCCTCAAACTAGGCCTAGGTTGCGTTTTATGTGTGTTAGTTGCATTTTAGGTCATATTCACTTTCTTTATTGCATGTAAGACGCCTATGTGGGTATCTGGGTAATTCCTCTCAATTTTCTGTACATGTGCTTGCTATTTGCATCGTTTTTCAATTATACAAGTTAGATGCTCTTTATTTGCCAAATTGTATGTTTTGGATGTTATATGAATATTGTTAATTTTAGATTGGGTTTATAACCATGGATTGATAAAATCCACTTTTTAATGAAAAATCACTTTTTTACAAAAATATGGCCTCTTAATCTAAAATAAATGATATTCATTTTTCTTCAAATCACGTAGTTTTAGGTTAGTTAAAGGTTTTAGGTCTAATAATGAATTTATGTGAATAATTAACCACTAAAATCATAAAAAAGAAAGTGAGTAGAGGCCAATCTTCGAATTGGGCAAAACGGGGTGCTTCCATGTAAATGGCCTTCCTCTTTTGTACCTAAGCTCCTGAACCCGAAATTTTCTTTATTAGACCGACTAAGCCTTTAACTTTATTTTCATTGTTAAAGGTTTCTTAATTTCCCTTGAAAAGTTGGTTACTATTTGTGTCAAAATAAGTTGGTGTGGGAAGCAATGTCTTAGACTCGAAAAAGGCACAAAGCCCATAGTTGGCGATTCTGCTGGGGAATTAAGTTAGCTTGACTTAAAAATTTCTATTTTATAAGATTAGTGGTTAATTGTTAATTGCATTGCATCATTTTAGAACTGAGGAAACTTGCATTATTGCATAATATCCCAGACACTATTCGCAGGCTATGTTATGTCAATAAGGCAAGCGTTAGATTATGCTATTAGTTACTATTTGATCATTTCCTTGTGAAATGAGAGGTATATTGATAGTAATAATTGATGTACCCTTTTCTGAGAAAACTTACCTTTTGTATATAGAGAGCTTTAGCACCTTCCAAACTATGACAGGATACCCTCATTCTAGGATTGTATTATTGCCTTTTGTGTGATTTAGTCAATCTAAGATCTTCTTTCCAAATTAGGATAGGGCAACCCTACCCAAATAGGCATGACTGCAAATTATGTGCTTTTGTGGTATCTTGTCTTGAATGGAAATGATGTGGTTTGATTGTGAAAATCAATGGTCAGAAAGGGAGTGATTTGATTATGAAAATTTGAGGTTATTTGGGGGTAGTGATCTGATTATGAAAATTTGAGGTTATTTGGGGGTAGTGATCTGATTATGAAAATTTGAGGTTATTTGGGGGTAGTGATCTGATTATGAAAATTTGAGGTTATTTGGGGGTAGTGATCTGATTATGAAAATTTGAGGTTATTTGGGGGTAGTGATCTGATTATGAAAAT